CCACAACTGTCTATGTCCAAATATGCCATTTGAGTAAAAATGCATTTAAAAGTTTGATTGCAAGCATAAAATCTGACAAAGTGTAGTAGTTATGTTTAATGCCATTAACTTATAAATAATACTTGGTCAAACATCATACATGGAAGCCATGACCTTTTGACCCTGTCAATGTCAGAAACTTAAAAAATGGGAGTGCCAAATACCATCCATGGAACTCTTCAGGAATGGCTAGGCTATTGCACAAGTTGATGAGATCCTTCTTCTTAAGGTTTAGGCTTTTTTAAATGCTTCTCTTGGTAGACAAGGTCCAGATTACGTGGAACTGATGATCTATCTTCTTGTAGTCATACAAGTAGTTATAGATGGTAGCAGATGGTGCTTTGCTCTTCCTTCCTGTATTGGAAGCTCTTTACATGTAGCCAGTTGAAGACGTGTCTATCTTCGTCTAGGCGTTTGTTATTCATGATCTGCTGTGAGAGATTTTTCAGATCATAAAAGTCTCCATGGCACATGTTTATGACCTTGTATGGAAGCCGACGTCTTAATTTGTGGAAAATGTTTTACCCAGTCATGCATTGTGAAGACATTGATGTTCTTTTTTTCTGTTTCAATAGCAGAATGCATGCTATTGCATTCCACGTGGGAATGCCCACTCTCCAGAAAATTGTGTGCGATGACTTTGAGATGTGTGTTCTGGATGGCATAGAGTAATGTTGCAGCGACATTCACTTTGCAAATCAAAAGAAGCAGAGACAAAAGTCCTCTTTCCAGCAACTACCTTGGCCTGGCATAGCTGCCAACACTTTGGAATTTTCAATTAGTAACATTTAAGTAAAACTGAATATCATGTGCGCGTAGCGCACATCACGAGCTTTCTTTGGAAAATCAGAGTCAAATTCCCTCATGTAGCAGGGTGTTGTTTGGCGAGCCTTAGTAATAAGGACACTTTTTAGAGTTTCGTTGCTCATGGACCCTCTGAAGTCAGTTTTGTTCTTTCGCACCTGACTGAAGACCCTTTCACATTCAGCATTGGTATGGGGTATGGTTAGAATCCCTTTTGCAAGTCTGTCATAGCACAGTTCACCAGAAACATTCTTTTCTGTCATCATACTTGTCCACTGCTTGTCAGTAGATTCCTCATTTTGCACTAAGTCCGGAAGCTGAGCAATTTGATAGATAAGGAACTGGTTCTCCAGAGCATCTAGGGCACTGTGCTTGTCTTCTTCTTCTTCCTGAAGCAACATGCAGGGGAACTTGTTGATGAAGAACTTTAGAGAAGTGAATTTGGCATCCTTCTGATATGCAATGTCAGCCACTTGCACATGGATGAGAACATCAGACTTCAATAGAAACTTACTTACAATGTAGTCACATGCCTTGGTGTAATATGAATGCACTGCTGCATAGAACTTATGGCAATCAGACTCATCTAAAGTGTTCACAATTTCTCTTGTTGCGCTTTTTATGACCATTTCAGATTCTTCACAAAGATTCTCCTTGTTCTTGTAGTCCAGAAGGGTCAAGTCTGTGGCTGCAATGATTGCTTGTGGAGCTACAAATTGGCTGTACAAGTCACGCAGTAGACTTTCTAGTATTCCTTTTAGCTTTTGTATCAGAGGACTTCTCGTCTGAAAGATGACATTTTTCTTGTGAAATGCAATGATGCTGTGGCTGATATTGGGTTTGAGTGCAATGAATTCAGAATTCTTTCCTGTCTTGTTTTATCTCTTACTGTCTGTCTTGTTTCTTTTTTTCCTCCACATCTTGTTTTTTCATTTCCAGTCATTTTACTAGAAATCATACTGGGATGACTGGAAGTTCCAGTCTTGAGCACTGTTGAGCCTGTTGCCTTGCCAACAACTTTCCCAGTCTTCTGCTTTTTTCTAGGTGTATCCGAAGCTTCCTCATTTGTCGTTTTTCCCGAGTAGTAGAGCTTGAAGATGCAGGTCTACTGTGTTGTGGCTGTGGTGTTTGAAGTTGAACCTGGGAGGTAGAGAAATTATTGATTACCATATGAGAAAGAAACAAGACTACTGACACAGTTTACAATTAAAAAGATACACTACATTTGAAATCTTGGCAGATGACTAGCATTATTGAATACATTTTTATATCTGTAAACTGAACAGCAGAGTGAAGATGATTGGAAGAGAAAGAGCTTACAAGTAAATGACCTAAAAATAAGAAGAAAAAATAAATGATGTAAAGGAACATATTTAACTGTCACCCTGTATATATCGTCCCTATTTTCACGAAGTGACGGTAGTGAGGAAAATCGTCACGCAAACTGTATGCAATTTTATTTCACTACCGTCACTTCGTGAAAACAGCGACGAATTATGATCAATTTTTGTACTCACTTGGGTCTGAGACTTGGCAGGTTTGCTCACATGTGGTGGATCTGCAGACACCTTCTTGGGAATGCAGAATGCTTGGAGTTGTGCAGTCATCTTGGTTTGGTGAGCAGGCTTTTTCTGCAGGACAAGACAAGCTTAAAAAAATTAATGCGATGCCTGCAACACTATTGATGACTTATTTATAAGCATGAAATTTAATTACACATTAAATTAAATTTTGCAATTACCATTTTGGTTCACGTAATATCCATTTTCGTATTTTTTTCAAACTATTTTAGAGTGTAAAATGATAATAACTGTTGCCAATTTGAGGAGTAAAAGCTGATTAATTCAAACATTTAGAAAGCTCTCTACTGCTAGGGTTAATCTATTCAAATCTGGTAATTTTAATGATGGCCATATTTAAATGGAATAAAAAGGAGTACATGCCTTGTAGTAATACATTTTCTAGCCTTACCTTCAGTTGAGATCCCTGAGCAGGTTCATTTTTCACAGCTGGAGTTGGCTTCTTTGGAACAAGTGAAGTCTGGACACTATTCTTGGTAGCCTTGGTCTGTTGAGTAGGCTTCTTCTGCTTTGTCTGTTGAGTAGGCGTCTTCTGCTCGGCTGACACTTCTCCTTCAAAAAAGAGGACTAGAGCTTGCCATTGTTGGATAAATCTTGGCAAGCATTGGCCCAAGCTCAGCCATCTCGTACAAGCATGTTTCAGAACTGCCTGCACTTCGTTCCCAATGAGCATCTGGAACTTCTTGAGATTCAATTTCCTGTTCACGCTGGCTTCCAGATAGTAGAACACATCAATAAGGAGCGAGTCAATTGAATATGGTAATGCAGATGACGCATCTTTGGCAGCAGAATCAATTAGATGATTGGGGCAACCAAGCACTGACACTTCCCGAGGCATGCCACAATTTGGTATGGTTTACTGTCGCTGACATTACTCCCATCAGTTGATATTGCAATTGGCCGTGCTTTCATGGCTGAAACGATCTGTCCTTGTTTATCTTTGGCCATTTCACGCACAAGACAAGATGTTTGGTCCTTGCACTGGTAAACTTCATAACCTCCTCAGAATTAGGAAAGGCTTTTTTCAACAATGGTCCCATGTGACTTGCAGCTGATAGAAGAATATTGTGCTCCAAATAAAATGATGTAAATAAGCACTCAGCTCTAGTTATATTAAAATCCTTGGAGGTTGACATCCATGATGTTATTTCTCGTGCTGACGATTCAGACTTGAAAGCAGTGATGTGTTGCTTTGATTTGCAATGAACAACAATGTCATTACAACCGCCATGCAAAATTGACAAATCTCGGCGACATTCCTTGCAAGTTGCATGATGTTTGCTCTTTCCTGATGATGCACCGAAGTCAAATTTATCAGCATATTTCTTGTTGTAAGCATGTCCTCTTTTGCACTCCATCTTATTCACAACGATTTTCTGTCTTACACGATGCAAGGAACTGCTTTGGCATCTTGAGCCTCTGTTTTTTGTACGAGATGGGTTTCCGTGAAATTCTCCTTCTGATCTCCAGACAACTGGTCATACTTCGTACATGTTGCACATTGGTCTTTTTTATTTATCATAACGTTTTTTCCGGGCAATGGTATGGTGTTGCTTGGCCACAATCAGTGAAATAGCTGCATAGGGAATCTTATCTGCTTAATGAGTAGAAAACTGCAAGTATTGCGCAATTCTTGATGAATGTACTTGAAACAGTCTGAACATCAAAGTAAAATGGCTAATGGACACATGGGAATAGACAGTTCTGAATAGACACAAAGTGAAATGAATATACAGTTCTTTGGTGGACATAACTGAATTTCACAAAAAATGGACATAGACAGTTCTGGCTTTAAGCCCTCTAGAAAAAATAAGAAATAAAAAACAATATAATACATATTAAAGAAAATAAAATGAAATTTGCATATTCAAAATTTATGCAAATTAACCTTTGCATTTTCAAATATCGACAGCCCCCCCCCCCCCCCCTGCAGTCAGGGGTTGCTCAAAATAGCCCAGGGCCAGTAGAATTTCAGAAATATGTTTGCTCTTTCATTAAAATTTAATGAGAAAATTGTAAAGCACAGTTTTTGTTGGGGTTGCAGGGGTTTACTCGTACATGTTTCTATGCGATTCCGTGTTTGTTTTTTGGGGGAAAAAAGATGAAAAATTGTATTTTAAGATCGTATTTCACTCTTATTATCATACTAAATATGATTTAATCGTACTGGTTGGCATCTCTGTATAACCCTCCAATTTTCATTAACTCAAACAACTTACATCATAGTGAATAACCTACTCAACTAAAACGCATTATCACTACCAAACAATCATCTTTCAGCGAATAACATTCCAGCATTGGGTCCCGATATTAGTATTCTTTCATTATCATTAACCTTCCCATTTTGATATTCCATATATAATATGATATCAACCTCTTCTTTACTTAAATACTTGCATGTCTCATTGTCACGTTCAAGCTTGATCTCTGATTTGAGTGTCTTCTTCAGAGTGATGGTTTCCACCGTGACGTACCTTGTCTCCTCCTCCAACCCAGTCAAAAAATGAGCACTTTGCAAGGTTCATGGAATGTTCCAACTTCAATATACGGATCAGGTCGACAATCCTTAATCTGGGAAGAAAAAGCATGGATGTATGATCTTGTTATCCATCCACCTATCAATCCAGTATTCTAAATGTGCACCATTGTTTTAGATTTCTCAAATATGATCTATAAGTTCGAAATACATGTACATGTCATGATGTGAGTGATGTTTAAAGATACTAAGGTTTGAAAGGCAAGGAGTGACAACACATAAATCCTTTAACTCATCACCTTAAGAAAAGGGTTTTTACCAACTTTACAACCTGCTTTCAATGTGATGTCCATGGCAGATGATATCATTGATAAGTGTACGGTAAGCCAACAAAATATTGACAACCCTTTTAAGAAGGAATAATATTCATATTCGTTTTTGCAAGAATGAAGACATGATAAATGAAAATGTTTAATTATCAACAAAATTAAGAAATTTACTTGTTTATTCTTCTCATTTTACTACTAATATTAAAAAGCAATCTTAACAGCTTCATGGTAACTATAATATGTAGGGATGACCTCTGTTTCCAATAAATCTAGTCCCTTGCTGTACACATGATCTATCAATGTTCCCTTCTCAGTAGTAGCATTAACAACATGCTGTTTGTAACCTTTATTACACATTAGCTTGTTTACCTGTAAAGAACCTTTAAACAAATCCTCATTAAAATCTCCCATCACAATACACCTAATGCTTGTTTTGTGTAATACATCTAGCAAATTGTCTAATGATTCACAGAATGATTTGATACTATATGATGGAGGTCGATAAACAACTGAAATCACAACAGAAACTGGTTTGGTGACAAGAATTGCAATAAACTCTAAGTTGTCGACAGATATGTCTAATCTACTTGAATATGTATTCTTGATATACATTGCAACACCTCCGTGCGATTGTTCTTTGAGTACATTTCCAACTCCAGAATTACAGTATGACAGATGTCGTGGCTGATGATAAAATCGAAAGTTATCTAAAACAACGTCACAGAGATCATCATCATTAATCCATGTTTCGGTCAAGCAAATACAATCTACATTCACAAATTGGCACTGGGATTTGAAATCAGTAAAATGCTGTTTTAATCCTTGTACATTTTGCATTACCAAAGAAAAGTTATAATCGTGAATATCTTCGGAAGTTTCATTCTCAATAAACGGCTTCATAATCTCAATGCGTTCTTTAATTTCTGGATTACAATATATACGTTTAGGATCGAAATGTTCTATCACAAGTCCAGATAACGAAGTAACGCGACTAAGCCCAACATATGCCTGTCCAGATTGAAATACATTTTTTAATGATACAACAGCTTTGTCTAATGTCGAACCTTGTACTTTATGAATTGTGCAAGCATAAGCAAGCTTAAGTGGAAATTGTTTTCTCACATATTTCTTACCAATGGATTCTTGAGACATTTCGATTGAATGAATACCAATATCGGCCTTCTCAAAATTAACTTTGATGCAAACTGGATTCAAATTTGTATGATCCGTTATTATTTCTGTTACATTTCCGAAACATCCATTTGTCAGGCCTTTACTAACATCAATGTTTTTGAGCAACATCACTCTAGCATTAACTGCAATCCACAGATAAGGAGGCAACTGGGTTTTCATCTTTGTATAAGGTTTTTCCCGTATTTGATTTCCTTTTTTAACATCTTTGTCCATGTCTTGTGCTTTTACGCATATCACATCTCCACATTTTTTATGCAATAATTTCTTGTTCCAAGCATCTACTTCATTGTTACATGCATAGATATGCAGAGCATTTTCACATTCTTCACCAGTCTCACAGGACTTGAGCATTGCTAGGTCTTCATCACAGAGAATCTCTTCCCCTTGTTTTACACGTAATCTATTTAAGAGAAAAGCAAATTGGGTATCGTCTTTTTGTCTCATAATGTCTTCAAGTTCTACTTTCTTGAAATTAGCATTCCACAATGCACCATTGAGTGTGTCTTTATATAAAGGAGTTCCTAAGACTGGAGGTAACTGATACATGTCTCCCACAGCAATAACTGAAACACCAGCAAAAGCAGTTTGATCTCGTGATTGTTTTATTTGTCGTAGGCGGCCGTGAATGTAAGACATCAACTTTTGATTTACCATTGATACTTCATCTATGATTAAAATTTGCAATTCAGCCAGCTTATTTCGAAGGACACTTATTTTCTCATCACTCAGAGGTTGATACAGTCTTTGTGCATTGATTGGAATAGAAAGAATACTATGTATAGTATGGCCATTGATATTGTATGCAGCTACTCCGGTTGGAGCCATTTTCAATACTGAGACATCATCAGGATGTGGCAACATTCGGGCTAGTATACGTGTTGCTTCATAGTAAAGACATTTGATCAAATGACTCTTTCCAGTACCAGCACCTCCAGTTAGAAACATATGAAACGGTTCGACCGATTTTCCATTTACTCTATCTAAACACCACTGTCGTATTTTGTAAAAAACACTCTGTTGCTTCTCATTCAAAGACCTCATCAAAGAATGTCCATCTTGTTTGGAAATTTTTACTGAACGTAGTTCAATGCTATAGTCATCTTTTTTCGGTTCATTCTTTAAATCTGGGATATCAAGATCTCCATCACAATCTTCGACATCTACATTTTCTTTGGGATGTTCAAGTCGCTCTACTTCCTTTTCCGGACATAAAAGACCCCATGCATCTTCGTGTGGACCAAATTTGTCAAGATGCTCCTGTGCATGATCAATTGCATCGGCATTCATTTCAAACTTCTTTCGGTTAGTACAGACAATTGACCAGACTTTCTCCAATTCACGTCCACATATTTTCACAGAACCTGTCTCGTAGAACTCTTCATGTGTTTCAAATGTTGGGGGCTTTAATTGTCCATCTTCAAAATATGGCAGAAAGAGTTGCAAAATGCTCAAATAATATTTTTCGGGTGAGATGATGGGTGAGAATCGGGGATATCTTACAACTGCATCTCCCGTACGAGTACGCTTCTGAATATATCCCAGATCGTTATCTAATTTAAAGACATTTTTACTTCTTGTACTTGGCGTTTGGGATGCAGTTAAGATTCTATACTGAGAACAAAACGTTGCAAGACACATATCACTGAATTCTGCGTTTTTAGGTCGAGCTTTGTATCTGTCGAGCTTGCTAGGCATCCAAACATTCTCATCATCATCATTATCGTTATCTGGTCTGCTCTTTATAACGCTTAATGGTAAACTCATTCTGACAGGGTCGGGTCCAACAGGAATGAATTCCACTTTCCTAGAAGATTCTTTCAATCTGAGACTGCAAACACGATAGACGCTTTCTTGAGCAGACACTTCACGATTTTGCATGTACACCTGGCCAAGTTTTTTCATGCTTTCCTTTGCGTTCTCATTTCCCTCTTTCATTTCTGATAGTGTATGACTCAATAGCATTCCGATTTCTCGTTCAGCTTTTGACATGTAGGATACAATATAAGCCACGCATGCAAATACATTTGTTACAAACTGCAAATCCATGTTGGCATTCCAGCTTCTTAGTAGACTTGGATTAAACTGATTCACCCATACATCTTGTATTTCTCTTTTGATGATTATACTTTGTTGTGATGCTAATTCATTATGTGCATTCTCAAATTGATTTTGTGTAATGCCAAGCTTTTCAAAGAGATGGTTTACACTGTTGTACTCGATTCCATTGGATAATGCATCTTTAACTGACTTCAACAATTTCTCTGCATCATCTTTAATCTTTGTAGAAGCTTTAATTTGATCATTGTCCTTTCCCTTATTTTGCACTTTCCCACAATCTTTAGCTGGAATCTCTTCAACAGGTGTTACAATGAATGTTTTTTCAGATGGTGGTCTTGGGAAATTAAATCTACACGCTTTTCCCGTTTTTGTGCAAGATTTAGAATGTTTCTTACTGTGTTGTTGGACCTTGCTTACTATTTCATGTAGTTCTCGATCTTCCTTTTCATCCGGTTTCTGGCAAGAAATGTATTTATCTACAAATTGTACGACATCATCATCTTTATCGATACCCAACTGTGGAGCATTTTCAACCCAGAACAAGGCATGAATGTGAGGGGAACCACGGGCTTGATACTCTACTCTCCAAAATGAATCAACTACTTTACCAATCGGTGCAGCGGGAGATAAAATAACTCTCTTCATAAAAGTGTGAAATCTTTTATCAAACATTCTGGCAACTGTTACTGGATTTGATCTTAAAAGATTACATTTTTCTGTATAGTCTAATTCACTCGATTCCCTGGTGTCTCCTTTTTGTCTAAGCAATGTATTCATTAATTCTGGCCATCTCATATCGGCAGATGAGAAAGAAGCAAACCATGTCGGCTTTCCAAGCTGTCGTACCATTGCGAGAACATCTTTTTGTGTCTTTTGCCAGAATGGAGGTGTTCCACGAATTTGCTTTAAAAATTTATAGCCCTTGTCTGATTTTAGTATTTTTTTAACTTTCTCTGCATCTTTCAAATCTGAGGCAGTTATTGAAGACGAATCATCTTTTTTGTTTGGACTTTGCCTTAAAGCGATAGAAACTTGTGATATAACCTGTTGAATTTCATAAATATATTGTGCATAAAAGATGTAATCTGTATTCTGAGCAAATCTATTGTCCACGTGCATCAGTCGGTTATGCAGATAACGTCCTAATGTTATTTTTTCATCTCTTCTATCATGGAATGTTGGTTGACCTTTAGGAAATAACACTGGGAAACATTTGGCCTCATTGCTTTCATCTTGTAGAATTGATACAGGGCTTCTTCCTTCACAAGGAGCACAACATATTATGTCTTCAAAATACTGATCTAATATTTCCTGTCCAATATCTACCGGCTGGAGACATGAGTCTAACTGAATACCGCGTAAGCGTTCTTCCATATCGTCTTCAGTGTTGTTGTCATCTATTTTTTGTTGTAGTTTACTGTTGTCTTGCATGTTTTCATTAGCATTTTTGTCTTTGGACAAAATGTAATCAATTTGTTCTTCCATTTCCTTCCAATATTTTGCCAAACGAGCTTTACCACCAATTTCCACTGCTTCTTCCTTTTCATTATCTTTTTCATTTCGTTCAAGTGAGTTTTCCCATTTATCATTTACTGCAACATCAAAATACCACTTATTATTTGCTTTTAAATACTGCAGAGCATTGAGCAAGTTAGATTTATCTACAAATTTGTACTCATAATAGCTTTTGTACGACAATTTTCGTTTGAGTTTAACACGGATCAATTGATCTTCAGTCTGTGGTCTTGGCAACATATCTACTGTTTCATAAGTGTTTGAAGGCACGCACACGACTGGGCCATGGACTCCATTTTGACCACCTTTAGGCAAGGCCATTAACTTCATGAAAGGGATATTCAATGCAATCAAATGCTGTTCTAAATTGTTCAGATTGGCAAGTTCTTCTGGAACTTCATGTAGTTGTAAATTGTTCATGTTTGCTTCTGCAGGTACTTTTCCAGCTTGCAATTTTCTATGACAGGTAAAGCATATCCAAAGTGTCGATCTGGCTGACTGGCCTATTAAACATTTTGACCGGCATTCTGAATTGCAAACATGCAAATATTCTTCACTTATGCACGTGTGAATTTTATAATTACTCTTTTTACATTTCAATACCTGGTTCTCAAAGAGAAGTTTTAAGCATACACAGCACACATATTCTGGGCCATGAGAAATTATCTTTCTAAATTCTTCAAGTACAATATCAAACTCGGACAATTTTACCGTTCGAAGTACAGACCTTTTTCGATTTTGTTTTATTACATTTTGCCTATATTTTTCAATTCTTTTATATTTCATTTTTAAGCTCATCAATTTCTTTTCCTTAAATTCGTTGCCTTTATATCTAATTTTGGACAATGTTTTCATATTTGCCTTTTTTGTATGTTTAAATTGTTGATCGTTGTGATATAATTTCTTCATTTGTTTTTTCATGATATCTTGTTGTTTTTCCTTAAAATTTTCATCGTTCAAATATTTACTTCTTAATTTGCTTTTGTGAATTCGTTTAAATAGTTCATCATGCTGGTATTTACTTCTTATTCTACTCTTGTGCATTCGTTTAAATAGTTCATCATGCTGGTATTTACTTCTTATTCTACTCTTGTGCATTCGTTTAAATAGTTCATCATGCTGGTATTTACTTCTTATTCTACTCTTGTGCATTCGTTTAAATAGTTCATCGTTCCAATATTTATTTTTCATTTTAGTCCTCATAGCTGTTTTAACATTTTCTTTAAATCCTTCATTTCTCAAATATTTTTGTTTATTTCTATACAAAATTTTCTTTTTATAACATAAATCAGAATGATATTTGGTTTTCATAATATTTAGCTGTATGTTCCTGAAATTTGAATCCTCTTTATACATTTCTTTTTGCCTTTGTTTCACATAAGCTCCTTGCTTTATTTTGTGTGATAAATTAGTGTTGTAATTCTCTTTTTGTCTTTGTTTTACTTCATTTATTTTTTCCATGTTATAGGTTAAATCATTTTGATATTTATTCTTCGATTTAATTTTCCTCATTTGCGCATTGTGAAGACACTTTTCCTTTTTCTTAATTATTTCATCTTTGGTCAAGGCTCGTTTTTCTCTCATAAGCTGTCTACTGCGCTCCCTTCTTTGATTAGAACTTTGTCTGTGTTTACGTTTTTTCTTTCCATGGTCTACATTTCCAACATGAACTTCTCCAATTATTATTAATTCATCATTACTATCAGCACATTCGCTTGCATCAATTCTTAAGCTGTCGTTCTCATTCATTTTTACCAATTTGGTTTTTCGAACTTCATTACCAAGGTCAACATCGACTTTTGCATCATTTTCAATGTTACTCAATTTTCGTTTTCTGCTTAAGATAGAGTTGGAATTCTGAACTTTGTTCACTAAATTTAATCTATCAGAGTCATTCCCGCATTTAGTACAATTTTTGAAATCTCCATTTTGTTCATTTACATATTCTGTCTTGATAGAGTCATTTCTTTTCAAAAGACAACTTTTATTCAGCGGTGGTTCTTTTAGTTTCGTTAAGGTAATTGTCACACTCTTCAGTTTTAATTCCTGACCGTTATAATGTACATCATGACTGATCGTTTCATTTGCTTTTTCAGGGAAGAGAAATACATTTGGGTTATCAATCATCTTTTGTGGGGAAACACTCTCATCCAATATTTGAACTTCATCAAAGCTTTCACAATGTATGGAACATCCAGAGCTTCCAGACTGACTTTCACTGTGTGTATTTGACGAAGGAATTGGATTACAAACAAAATCCTGTAACTGTGGATAGCCTTTCAAGGTTTCATTCTTACCGGAAGTTGCTTTAGCACATACACTAGTTACTTCATATTCGGTGTGCAGGGGGCATCCCATTGATTTTGCTAACCTCATGCAATGCTTGTACACACCTTGCCAGCTTTGAGTACGAAGTACAACACTGTGTCCGTTACAAATCAGGAAACCTCGACTGCTTCTGGAATGTGAATCAAATATAAAAAAACCATCTTGACCAGATAATACAATGAAAGTACTTCTAGCAAATGTCACAAAACATGCATCAGAATCAGTACAGAGTTCTTTTTCGAGTGCTTGCTTCAATGTCATCGAAAGAGACTGGGCCAATATCAATTCATCTCCATCTAACAATCCAGTGACTGGTTCACGGCATACTATGTTAAACAATTCATTGTACGCATCCAAATATTCAAATAGATCAGATATCAATAAGTATTGGTTGTCGAGTGAAGTGGATCGCCGTATGTAACAATATAATTCATTACCGTTATTCAAAATCCTGTCTAGATCTGTACTTTTCCAATCATTGGCATTTTTTACCTTGCTATACAACAGTGCAGAAAGTGAATTGGTAACACACTGCTTTCCACTTAAGTCACCAAATCTTGTATCCCTTGATTGAATGTCCCTTGGGCAACCAGCGTTATTTGTGTATCAACTCTCGTGCATTTGTCTTTGTGATCACTTTCAAGGGTTTCGTCCTTGGTGTTACGTTCGTTGTGAACGACTGATTTAGACTGATTACTTGCACACTGTTCATATGTCATGTCAAAAAGATTTGCAGTACCTTTTCTCTCATCGTGATTTATCGTACCAGTTTCCAACGTGAGCCTACGTTTTTTTCCCTTTGGATCAACATGGTTTTGAAATGTTTCAGGAGACTTATCCACTACTTCATCAATTTCTTCCTCTATCTGACACTTGGATCTACACTTCTTGAACACATGCTTTACTTTAACATCAGCCTGAATTGATGGACATGGCAAAGTTCTCTTTGTTGTTCTTGTCTGTTCTAATGAATTGAAATTGACAAAATCTACAGATTCAACAACATTAAAATGAACATTTCCTGTGTACAGTATATAAATTCCCTTATCAGATGTAACAATATTGATTCTTCCAGGTTTCTTTGCAGAGTACAATTGCCAACATGGTACTTGGTCATTGTATGAATAAATATCAGTATCGATTAAATTTGCTAAAGCGCTAATTTCAGTGTCTGTAGCCCACGTTCCGTCTTCCTTTATTCTACGTTTCAAAACATATTCTCTGACTGTTCTATATTCTTGCCTCAATGTATTACTAAACATGTCCTTGGTTTGCAATAAATGTTTCACAGTGGCATTTCTTAAAATTGCATGATTACGCTCAGTTCCAGAAATTACATAGGAAATTGCACGAAAGAAACAATTGCCATCACCAGTAATTTGTTTACTCTGTAAAGGAACTCCAATAGAGCTATTTCTATCTAACCTTGAATCACAGCCTTTGCCTATATATCTGATATTCAGTTTTGAACAAATGTTCTGTTTGTCATTATTCTGGAGGGGTACAAATTTGAAATCTTTATCTGGTCTATCACGTAATCCAAGATCTGCTACAAATTCAACTTCTGTTTCTGTTTCATCAGTACATGTGTACATATTAGCATCTATTGCCTTTTCAATGTCTTCATCTTTGATATTTGAATCTGAAGAAGATTCTAAAGGATTCCTTGAATGAGCATGATCATTAAATGACATATCAGTATCATTGTCTGTACCATCTTTTACTGTATCAAAGCTTCTATTCTTCAGGTCATTGTCATACACTGCATCTTCTTGTACACCATCTGAAACATCTGAAAAATCATTTTTCATCATATCATCATTTTCCAATACCGATTCACAGACATTGTCTACTGGTTCATTTATGGGCATATCTTTTGGTCTATCACAAACATTCAAAGGCATATTGCGTTGTGGTAAAACACTTCTATCGAATAAATCACATCCAGGACTTGTGTCTGTATCACTATCAGATTCTATACAATTTCTTGCACACGAACGTTTCACTGGTATATGAACATCACTGCCACTATCATCGTCCGTTTCAATTTCCCCATTTTCATCAAAATTTGATTTCAACAGATTATTCTTTGAATCGTCCTGCACAACTCCATCTGAACCTTTGTTGTCTTTCATATTGCAAATATGCTGGTCTGAGTGTTCATCATTTTTACATGTATTTGGATCAAGTCCTTGGTCACTTGCATTCATAGATTTCTTTGTATCCAGCTTCTCATTCTTTACTGCTAATTCTATTCCTTCATCTTTGTCAAATCTAATCTCTGATTTATCAGAAGAGTGATTTCCATCAGTGCCTTTTTTCCCGGCTTTGGAAGACTGACCTTTCTTGTTCCTTGCTCGACCTTTCTTGTTCTTTGCTTCTTTTTTCTTGCCACCAGCATGAACTCTGTACTTTCGCAAATCCTTGATCTGTTCAAAAAGATTACAAGTACATACATCGATATCAACACATGTATCTGTTCTAGATTGAGTTGGCAAATTGCTTGCTATGTCTGCCCAGGATCGTGTTTGTGCCGTTTCACTTTGCACACACATGTCATTATACAACTTCATTGCATGTGGGGACTGCACACTGTAGGCATATAAACCTAAAAGAGTTTCTGTGTAAGATTGAACACTGATATCTTTTTTCTCGGATTTCACCTTCTTTTCTTTACAATCAACTTTCTTTCGGTCTTCCTTTTTTTTCCTGCTATGGCTTTCATAGAATGTCTTCATTGCTTTGCCGATGTAAGTTACACCAGGTTCTAAGACTTTGCCATTCACTGATTTTCTTCTGATTTTCCTGTCTGTTTGATGATCATCTATTGATTTGGGATACAATTTTCTTGATTTTAGTTTCTCCACCCATTTCGTCTTCCTTGATTTCACAATTACCCAGTCATCCTCAAATTTTTCATTTTGCATCTCTTCGTGTTCTATTTGGATGGATTTTCCATAGCCAAAGGATTATGTCTATCAGACTCATTTGTTTGCCTGTCAGTTATATGATGTTGTGTTCCTCTCAATCGATTGGTTTTCTTTCCCTTTTTACCATACCTCTTCTTTGATCTGCCACATTTTCTTTTGTTGGTCGTACTTGATAGGGTCCTTGATTGGTTCAAATCCAAGTAACAGTGTTCATCATGATCACCAAGAAGTTCGTATCTATTGAAATGAGAAGGGATGCATACTTGATCAAACATGCGATGAGCCATGTTGTTATTGCCACAAAATGAACAAATCCAGATCAATGTCAGGTCACTCAGTCTGTCTTCACAAGGGAATCCCATACATGTCACATGAAAATGCTTACTACAACAGTCACATCTTGCATCACTTTCATTTTCTTTGATTTCATTGTTACAGATACAGCATTCATTAAGATCTGGGTTGGTCACCAATGCACAACTAGTCAGTATATTCATGATTTCATCAAGTGTTTTCTTAAATTCAATTGTATCCATCATGGTAAATTTTGCTTATATACTTGCAACAGTTCTGGTTAATAATTACAAGTCTACAATTAACGGTTCTGTAACTTTGATATATAATGTTCTGTATATATTCCTTACTCCAATAGTCTTTTATTTAAATATTCCTATTGTGAATTATGAAAAACTAATCCTTACTGATATTAAACTCTATGGTATTTCAATAGCCTAGCTTTATATACACTAGCTTGTACTGTGTTAAGGAGCTATAATGTTTTTGTCTCAAGATG